CCGCAGTATACGTTGCACCGCAGTATACGTTGCACCGCAGTATACGTCGCATCAGTTCAAATACATCTAATAAAATGGGAAAAAAAAAATCGCTTCGCTGTATAAGTCGCATCTATTATGCATCACCGTTGACGCGTCACATTTGTTATGCATCACTGCTGACCACCTAAAATGTGGGCCGGCGTTGTGCCAGAACTCGATTGGCTGCCAAATGGCGACCGCAGGAGCGTGAACGAGAGGACCTTACAAGAATTTAACAAGATTAACATTTAAAAACAATTATGTGTTTGCTTGAAATTATAGTAAAAGTGTGTCTCAGTTGAACTTTTCCTTAATAAATGCACTTTAATGGTCAAATCAGCTGCATTTCGCCTTGTCGGCGCAGCAAAATGCAGCTGATTTGATGTTTGCTCCAGGAGTTACAGAGTGAGATGAAGGTGGTTTACTAATGCAAGCCTAGTGTCTCATTAATAGCCACATTTACCTATTGAGACACTTGGCTTGCAATATTGCTCAAGGACCCTCTAGTGGCTGAAAATGTTAGTGTTCAATATTTTTCATGTCAGAATGAAATCATCAGATCTCAGCCAAAAATTGGGTTATAAATATGGAGAAAAAATGTATATTAGTCGCTTTGGTGTATAAGTAGCAGAACGTGCAAATTTATGCAAAAAGTGCAACTTATACAGCAAAAAATATGGTACATGAGAAAATTTTAAAAGATTGTATGCGAGGAGAAAAACAACTAAAGATTGTACACGTCACACGATTGTCAACTCGAGTATTACTCATGCGATTGGGACAGTACAGGGTACAGTAAAACGTTAACTTAAAAAAATATATACTTTGAACAGGTGCTACCATTTTTTAGTTTTCTCTCAATAAGCCTATACTGTATCACCACTCAAAAGGACTACATTTCCCAGAATTCCCAACGGTGCTTCTAAACGTTTCTTTCTGCCGAAATGGAGGGAAAGTTTTGATCCGATCCGAAAAAGTTCGATCCTTATTCGTAGTGACTTCTGCGTTCAGTGGATGCAGAGAACCGTACGGAACCGACCGGGAACTGGACCAGAACCGGACTTGCAGCATCATCGGTCAATCTGAGCGCTGCTTGCCGGTCCACGAGGCCTCTCGAGCAGGGAGGCGTTGCTTGGAGGTCCGGTGTTTTCTCCGGCGCTCACCGGAACTTTTTTCATCCGGATTTGGACTCGATCGGGACCTTTGCGTGGTTTTGTTTGCAGTGCGTAGCGACTGTGCATACATAGACGTTTGTTGTTAAAATGACATCGGTTTAGAACATTGCAAGGGTTTCTAAAGCCTTAAAATATAAATTCATACTAAAATAAATATAGCATTCCTACTTGGCGGATTTTCACTTATTGCGGGGGTGTCTGGAACGTAACCCCAGCGATAAACGAGGGACTACTGTATTCAGTCTGAAATTTGCAAAAAACATTTTAGCACCTTAAAGACTGTCATGTCTCCAGGTGCTTCAGCCATGACCGTTGTTGCTGGCAGGAGAAAAGTTGCACTTTGTGTTTGGCTTCGTGTGATAAGTGTGTTATTGTTCTTATACACAGATGGACCATGGCATCAGTTCAACAGACCACAGGGGAAAAAGTCTCAGATTTGATTGAATTAAATCAATGCATCTATTGGAAAATGTTGACTGTTTTCAGCCAGTGGCGAAAATCCACAACTGGTTTTAAAGCTACACTAAGCAAATGGTCATATTAGCAGCAAAACAGTTTCTGTTTTTACCAATTCAGTTGGAGTTGGGCCACTTTTAGGCAGAAAATAAGAAACCAAAAGAAAATAGTTTGTGTTTTAAACACTCCCTTTAGTTCGGGCCATGCATGAATTGAATTTCTTTGCTCAGTGTAGCTTCAGAACAGGCAGGTCAGAGAGTCGTGGACAAGCAGTGGGTTTTGTGAACAGAACCGTGGCTGGATGCGGCGCCGTGAGCTGGTGTTGGATGGCGGTGGACGACGAGAGGAGCTAAGGGCGATTCTGTGAACCTCAAAGCCGTGTTTGGGCTTCAGGGATGTAGATTTCGATGCTATCCGCCCGCTCCGTGGCTGAGTTCTGTCTGAAAGACGCTGCTCGTTTGGCAGCCATGAGGCGTCTGCGGGCTTCCTGTCGCTGGCGGTCCTGAAGGTCCAGAGAGCGCTCCCGCATTATGCCCCCACGCCCCCTGGATGGCCTTTTAGACAGAGGTGGGGGCCACTTCTGCTCCTTGGAACACAAAGAACATTCAATGAATACCTAAAAAAAAAAAGATGGAATTTTTTGACTGAAAATGCATTTTAAGTTTTTAAAATTTATATATTTATTGTGTGAATGTTCATGAAGCATTCACTCTGTTGGGATCCATTTTTCAGCATCTTTCTCATTCCACAATTTTTGGGCTATTTCAACAAATCATATCAAAACATTCAGCTCGTTCAGGAGAAGGGTGCTATGACTTTTAATATTGGTGCAACTTTAGCTTTTTGAAATATTTAACTTTTTCAGCAACATTTTCTCATATGAAATGAATTGAGTTCATTTTACATCTTTAGATCTGTTTACACCCTTTTACTGCTCCTTTCACATTTTGTTCTGGTTCAGCTTCCTTGTGTAAATTTAGTCATTTTTTCAGCTACTTTCAGTTTTTTTTTTGCTCCCTGAAGCTTTTTTCTGCCAACTACAATATTTTAGTGCTTCTTCTAACTTCTTTCTGCTAATTTCACTCTGTTATGCTCCTTTCAGTTTATTTATGCACATTTCAGCTTTTTCTGCTATTTCAGCTACTATTTAGTCGTTTTATGCCAACTTTAACTTTTTGGCTAATTCCACATTTTTGCACTCATTTCAACTTTTTTCAGCCTAATTCAGCAAAAATGGGCTCTCTCCACTTCCTTTTGGTAATATAAACTTCTTTCTGCTTTTTTCAGATAATTTCCATTTTTTGTGCTAATTTCTGCTTCTTTCAGCAAACATGTTCTTTCTGCTTTCTTCTGCTAATTTAAGCTTGTTCTACTTTTTCAGCTAGCTTTTCTTTTAGCATTTTTAGATAAATTCAAGTTTTTCATGGTAATTTCTGCTACTTTCAGATTGTTATGCTCCTTTCAAGGTTTTTCTGCTAGTTTCAGCTACTATTTTGCTGTTTTTTATGCTAAATTTAGCATTTTCAGCTAATTCCACACATTTTAGCTCATTTGCTCCTTCCACTTGCTTCTGGTAGTTTAAGCTTCTTTTAGCCTTTTCAGCTACTTTTCAGATGTTTTTTCCTAATTTTTGTGCTAATTTCTACTTATTTAAACCTAATTCAGAAAATATCCTGATGCATGCTCAATGAAAGACTGAAGAAGTCTTTCGGATGAAAAACGAAGCATTTCTACAATTTTTTTTTTTTTTTGGCTTAGTTTTGTTTTTTGAATGTCTGCTTTCTTCTGCTAACTTGGGCTTGTTCTTTCATTTCAGCCAAGTTTCAACATGTTTTTAGCCAATTTCAGCTGTTTTTCAGCAAGTTCTTCAGCAATAAGCATTCACACTGCATTTTAACAGGAAATGCAATTTCTCCTAATTTATTTATAGTTCTGCTTGGAATGTTAACATAAGACATAAGGACAGTAATCCAGAGCAACGATCATGGGGAGGTGGAGTTTTTCTGTCTGGTGTTGAACTGAAGCAGAGAGGCCCGGCGTGCAGCATCTGTGTCACTGCAGAGTTCAGCTCCATGAAGCTCACGATGTGTCCGCTAACTGCAGGAAGTAAACGAGCGCTCGCAGATAAAATTGGTGCGTGGAGATAATTATCTAAAAGTGCAGAAGAATTTCGTCAACTTTAAAACAGGCAGTTACGTCTAAATGTGCTCCTTACGACAGCGGTGCTAATCCGTTTCAGTACACGCTGTTTTAAGGATGGTTTTTAAGATCTCCGTTTGTTTTTATTTATCTAAATAAAGAATATGATCAGACGAGATGGCTACACTCTCAATAACATGTAATAATGTGTTTTAATATATCAAACTTGAATTATTTTATGTCCGTTTAATATTTTTAAATCAGGTTCTCATTGAAAAATAAAATGTGAATATTTTTTTTCGGACTATCGGACGCACTTAAAATCTTTTAATTTTGTCACAAATCAACTGTGAGCCTTATGTATTAATTCTGGTTGTGCTTACTGACCTTGAACTGATTTTATGTGGTACACGGCACTCAAAAATCTGTCAAAATGGTTTAGTTTCACTTAATGCGCCTTACAGTCTGAAAAATACGGTATTTGTTACATTTATATCTGTATCCCAGTTTATGCTCATTTTTACAGTTTAATTCTTTCTTCATTTGGTTTTGGTATTTTGTATATTTGGTTATGTTCTTACTCTTTTATCATTGCTACATGACCGATGGTCCCTATTCCACCTCTTTACATACCACCTGTATTCCATCGGTAATCGCCACACGTGTCGTCATTCATTGATGACATGGTTTTCATTAGTTCTGTGTCAGATCCATGTGTTGAAGTCTTCGTAAGCCTGTTGTTCATGTCATGCTGCTTTAAGATGAATTCCCCTTTAATTAAATTAAAGTTTGAGTTTTGATTTTTATCCTCCTGCCTTTCAGTTCTTCGTGTCATGTTTTTGTCTTTGTTGGGCTCAAACTCAGACGCAGCTATTTCCTCTTCGACAAGATTCCTCGTTTACGCCCAATTCCAGTTCAGCTGCATTGATATTTATTTTGGAGGTAAACTGATGTCAACGCAAGAAAAAAGTCTCTGTCCTCGTGTTAGTTTAGCTTTCCAAAACACTGAAGCGAAGGTGAAACGGTGACTTTAAATATCTTGTGCAACATGATGAAATTAAAAGTTAAATTAACATACAGTGTTTAAATACTGTGCATAAGTGTTTGATAAAACACTCCATATGCTCCATATTTAGCATAAGTGGGAAAAAAAAAATCATGCATTCCCTAAAAGATAATTGGAATAAAACATCTCTAATGTTACTTCTCTGTCCAGGGCTCCATGCATAAGAGATTATTTCACTATAAGTGAACTCAGTGAGCTCATGTTCGTACGGGAAAAGCAGCTTTAAAAAACAAAAGAACTGCTTCCAGCTTTTGCAGCTAAACAGATGCCGTCTTCTTGTTTGGACTCTAACCTCCTGCTGGTCCAGAACCGAAAAAGGAACGCTCATATTATCAGAGCAGTTTCCTCCAAAAGCTGAGCGAGTTCATCTGGAGCTCATTACGACTGAATATTAAGTGTTTGGAGGCTAATTATACCTTCTTCTCGGGGCTCTCCGACAGCTGCCACTGGTTGCTCTTGATCTGCTGCAGCTCGTCAAACTTGGCAGTGACGTCATCGATGGTAAGCTGCAGAAGGTCCCAGAATCCAGCCAGGTCCTGAGATGTGGGTCTGGGCATGGCGCTGGGGTCCTGGAGAACACAGAAATTCACAAACGGCTAATGTTTGTGGCTAAACAAACTTCACCGGAGCCAGTTTGTGAACGAGCTCCGTCGAGGTAAACGTATAAAGCTAATAAAACTCCTGAAATTGTGAAAACTTAAACTATTTCCTGTTTTCATCAAAACATTTCACTTTTAAAAGTGTGAATAACTTTTGATAGTTTTGCTGCTTACAGCCACTTCTACATTTAGCCACCAGGTGGCAGTGCAGCCCCATCATTACATGTGAACTCCTTAGAATTAGTGTCCAGCAGAAATTGCTTTTATTTATTTATTTATTTATTTATTTATTTATTTATTTCGGCTGCTCCCTTCTTCCAGGGTCGCCACAGCGAACTTTCTTGCACAAAGACTTAGCAGTTGTTTTGCTGCTGGATGCCCTTCCTGACACAACCACCGAGCTACCACGCCTTCTGTGTGGCGCAGAGGGTGGGGGTTAAGGGCCTTGCTCAAGGGCCCAGAGTGGGGAAAATGAGGGTGGAGGCAGGTGGGAGTGCTTCACATTTCCCACCTATGTTTTGATGTAGTCGGTAATGGGAGTCGAATCGGCGACCATCTGATAAGAAGCCCACTTTCTCTAACCTCTGCACCACTACTCCAATGAAAATCAAGTAAACCAGTAAAAATGAAACTCTGAGTGGATGAAAGTTCAAAACTAATTAACTTTTAAACTTAGTGTCATTCAAGATGGCTTCAATGGTTGTCAGTACCTTTGACATCAACTATTGAGTCAATCGTGTCCATCTGTTAGCAAAATATCTCAAGAACCACTGGATGAATTTCAATGAAACGGCCAAAGTTTCCATTAGATGATCACCTACACCTGATTAACTTCTGGAGTGGACCCAATTCAAAATGGCCTTTGCAAACACAAAAACCCATAAAATTTAGCAAGTTGTACAGATACTGAGCTTAAGTTTCATGTGGTAAAAGCTGTGGATTTTCCACAAATCATACATTGCTTCACATTTTTTGCTTAAAACCTTGGCATTAACTTTAGGAGTCAAACAGGTTTGTTAGAAAAATATCTCATGAACCACGGGATGGATTTTATTAAAACTCTCAGAAGACAATAATTAGATTTACAACTACAAATGATTGGAATTGATTCAATTTAATAAGGTCTCCACGGTTAATCCACACTAGCCAACACAAAAACAGCTATAACTCAGTCAATTTGACAGATTTTCAGTTAAACTTCAAAACTGAGACTTGTCCTCAACCCATTATCTCTAAAATTTGTTCCTGGAACATCACACAACCCATAAAAGAGTGAACGTAAACCAAGAAGCCGCCTGTCAACGTTTGGACACAAGGTGCAGTTCGTCCTCCAGCCAGCAGGTGAAACCAACTCCTTCCTTTCAGACGAACTTGAATGCTCAGAGCAATCTCTGGCTTGTCAGAACCAATGTTCAACTTAATTCATCATCCCATTATCTGTAGGGAGAGAAGCGGAGAACGCACCCGAGATCATTCAGAAGAAAGCAACACAATCGAGAAACATACAAAACAACAAAACACAAGTAGGGGAGCAGTCTTCATCCATGAGGTTCTGCATTCCATTTCATATCGCTGCTTTTAATTAGCCTCCCACCTGAGGGGTGTGATTAAGTCTGAGCCTCTCTCTTCCAGAGTCTCCTCGTCTTTATCCCTGAAGCGTCCCACGTGTAGCACAACCTTATAGTAAAACCTGCCGACTCTGTGAATAGTGTGAGAACTGACGCAGTGAGTTTCCTGTAGACGTGACGTGAGGGCGAGACGGTGTGGCAGTCCATTGCTCAAACTCTGAGTCTCCCATTCAAGCTGCTGCCTCGACGCATTAATGGACGGCCTCAACGCAGGTGCTGCTTCCTATTGGAATTCCCCTTCCGTCAACAGCGGGGTCGATACCCACAGAGCGGCTGCTCCGCCATCGATCTCTGTGCGTTATTTTTGGAAGTGCAGCGTCAGGCCGAGCGCTCAAAGCCCAGAGAAGGAGAAGGCCATCCACACGTTTATGGCTGGTGATCTAAGATAGTCTGGTCATGTTTATGGTGATAGCCTGTCAAATTAATATCTATCAGTCATTAGGGTTGGGCAGCAGTCTCAATAATCGATTGGAACCAGGGCTAACATTCAGATTGTCCCGGAATTGTTCAAATTTTCGATTCGTACTTTCGATACTTGGTCCGTCGACAGGGAGAAACCGCCAACACTAACGAAGAAGAATCCACAGGAAGTGCACATCCACGGACAGTGTGCGCCGTGATCGAAAGTGTGGCTTAACTTTAATAAAAGATAAGACCAGTCGGCTCAGCGCAACATTTGCACATAAACCTGTCGTGCAAAGGAGGGTGCACGACCAACACCTCCGGGTTCATGGTGAAGTAACAGAGTGCCCTGTCTTTGACGTGCTGCGCCGTCCTTCCTCCCACTCCGACCCACAGCTTATCAACCCACTGCAGCCAGAATCAGGTAAGTAAAACAATAAAATACGTCTTATACCAACATGAAGGCAGCTAACAAGTTACACTCGACCTAAAGCCGTGGGTCAACTCAAATGCAAACACCATGCTAACGTTAGCTCGTGTTTTTCATAGACAAATGACAAATTCACAAGTTTAACATTTATACATTGGTTGAAAATAACCCTGTGAGAAATTCATAGTAAAGTTAATAAAAAGTAAAAAGTTCATAGAATTAAAATTCAAAGAGAATTTCAAGCTATTTTATCCAGAAAGAACGCTGTGTAGCTAGCTCATTTAAACCATGCAAACTTTTTTGGAACCCTGCCTCTCAAAAGAATCGAGAATCGATGAACCGGAATCAAAATGAGGAATTGGAACTGTTCAAATTCAAAGCATGCTCAGGCTGTCAGTCATAGAGCACAGCGTGTGGAGAAAGAGGCAAACGCCTTCGTCCAGGCTAGGATGATGATGGTAAACCAAATGAGGGCTGGTCATTAGTTACGGTAGTTTGTGACAGTTTTCTCAACGTTCGTGTTATTACCAAATATGAGGGTGTTGTGCAGAGACAGACCGTGAATATATTCAGATGCAGTGTTGCCAACTCCTCAATAAGGAAGATAACTGCCGGCTGTTCTTAAAGTCACTAAATGACATCATCACCTAATTTGTATAATTGGTCAGAGAGGAATATAAAGTTATGGGAGAGACACAAAGTGAGTATCTGAGCTTGGGATTGGCAAAAGTGACTCAAAAGAGAAAGTTTTTTTTTTTTTTTTTTTACTGCAGTGATTTATTTTAGACAAAAAGTTTTACAATTACAGATTATTATTATTATTTTTTTACATCAGCAGCTTTGAGCATGTGCAAATCAGTTCCTGTTTACGTGTGAAGGCGGCGGAGGTTGAATGTCTCTTGCTCTGACTGCAGCTGGGACAGCGCCCCCCGGCAGTACCCACTGCTTGTTTCTTAGTTGAAGAACGATACAAGAGATCACATCAGTCTCCACTAACACCCCAAAAAAGTCACTAGATTTGTCACTAGCTGCTTAAAAAAGTCACTAGAGGGGTCAATATGTAATGACAAAGTCTCTTGAGTTGGCAACAAAGTGCTGATGATGGTGCTGAGGCTGCGTAAGCACCAGTCAGTCTAAAGGTTCATTCACTCGACGAGTGGCACCTCCAGGAATGTTTTATTGGGGTTGTGATGTGGAGAAACCAAAAGTAAAAGACACAAAAAAAAAAATTCAGGAGATTTGTTACGTTCAAATATGTTATTTTACAACTACAGCAGTGAGGGAGTTAGGGAACTACCTTCTGATATACATAGATCTAATTTATGTTTTTATTAGTTTTATTGTTTTATTATTATTATTTTTTTACAGTTGATATAACTTATTAAGAAAAGCACTGTCACTACAAAAAATAAGCTTAAGATATAAAAGGATAAAACGGTCCCCCCCCCCCTCCCCCAATGACACCCCTGCTCTCAATTCAGGCAGACAGATGCATTCACAGCCTCAGCATCTTTGATATAAACATGTTTTGTCTGCCTCTTTCTCCTTTCATGCCCTGTGTCTGATGTCACAGCTGATAAAATACTACAACATTTTGACAGAATATACCTTCAAATATTCGAGCCTGACCGATATATTGGAAGGGCCAATGATTTAGGTCGATATAGATGTTTGGGGACCTATCGTATCGGTGATAATTGTCCCATTATGCGTTGATAGAAACACTTCTAATTTTCACCCCTAAAATGATGGAACCAGCCGTGATTGTGCAATGTATCCAGCAGAGGGCGCATGAAGACTACTTTAAAATCATTGCCGTTCTCTTTAAGTTTCACTTTCACGTTCAGCACAGACGAAGCAGGGAGCCATACTGTGTAGCGTATTTTGCTTAACAGAGCATGGTAAGTGTATTTTAACTGATCTATAAAATAAATAAACAATAATAAATTATCTTCAATCCTCCAACCTGCTTGTCATTAGCTATGCGCCACTCAAGTTAGCAAGTTAACGTTTCGATAACCTAGCATAGGCTATTGCCTGGTAAAACTTTATCCAGAACAATAAATCTAACGTAGAAGTAAAATATATCAGTGTTAGTAACGTTATCTTTGTTGTCCACAATGAAAAGCATTGTTCGTCTGAAATCTTTTACTTCTCTGCAAAGAAAAGAAAAACAAACGCCGCTTCGGTCAATATTAATCAGACCTTCACCACACGGGACTGTTTAAACAATGAACAGGAAAGAGCGTCTCTTTGTTTAATTTACAAAGTATATTTTTGTAACACACTTGATAACTTTATGGTGAATAGTGGAGGATAAAAAATGTGCATGCATGTTAGGAAGACTGTTTTTATGACCAGTACGCCACTTGTAAACTTACTGGAGGACTAGCGTGGATCTGATTAGCTTAGCTTCATGGATGCTAACAGCTGCGTTAAATAAACAAGCCCCACTCCTCTTGCTGTTTTCTTAAATTCTTGGCGATGGACAAAGCTCTAAAATTTTCAGCCATTATATCAGTTATTGGCATTCACCTTCCCCTCCTAATATCAGTATCAGCGAAAGCCAAAATTTCCATATTGGTCGGGCTCCATCAAATATAATAAGATTATCCGTTTGATGGTGTTCAGGCAGAAATGCTGTTTGTTACTCACCTGATTCTGTTGACACAGCCAGTAAAACTGCTGGAACTTTTGAGACATTAATAGCTGAGCACTTCCAATTGCACTCCGGATCTTTCCTAGGACTGAAGCGCACACGTATAATCTGGATTAATTACTGAAAATTAGTCAACATCACAATCATTTCGAAGCAAGTCCCAAGAACGAAGTGAGACCAGTGGCGTGTACGTGTGGAGATCCCTCGGGATACTCACTGTCCTCTGACAGGTCATGCTCCTCCGCCTCTCGCTCCATCTCTTTGCACCACCCCTCCAGCCGCTTCGTTTCGTTGTGAAGAAGCTGTATGAACCAGCTGCCGTCCCTCCGGATGGGGGACGCTCGGCCAGTGTCGGTGCTCTCCAGGCTGGGTTCAACCAGCCAGGATTCAGGCTGTGGGCTAGGAGGCCCACTCGAAGGCCGATAGTCCTCCCTGTAACTGAACAGGCCCTGTGTGCGTACCGTCCGGATGGCGCCATACTGCGTTGGCGTGCTGGGCTCAGAGTGGCGACCGAAGGCGCCACCGAACTGCAAACTTTTGTCCTCCATGGAGGGAAAGCCCTCCAGCTCCATGTCTGCTTGCACTGCAGTGGTCACACTGTTGGAGCGCTTGAACCTCCCATGCCTAACAGACAGAAAGGGAATAAAAATCCTCCAACTTGATACAAAAAGTACATCTACTGGCGTACCTTCATAGGCACCACGTACCGTTTTTTATCCTCCACTTGGATTCCTATGGAATGAAACTGAGGAAGGCCTTTACTTTCTGCCTCTGAGTCTGTGACAGTTTCCACCTGAAAAATACCAACAGAACACAAACTATCACCATTTTATATCTAAATGTACACGTACAAAGAAATGATTTCATTCATAATGTTTCTACTGCCATTAGAAGTTTCTGAAACTGATCATGTTTTTGCTCAAATCTGACCCAAGAAAAAAACCTAAAACGGGGGGGGGGGGGGGGGGAGACTATGGGGACTATGGGGTGCCGTTTGTAAAGTTACCAGTCAGAAATTAACAGCAATATTTTGGTTTATTTTGCCTTTCATAAGAAAAAAAGTTTCTTTTTCGGTCATATTTTCACCAAGTTATTCTTACATTTATAAATGTCATAGTTACTAACTAAATATTTAATTTACAAACTAAATGTTTATGTCCAAGCTAAATGTGTAATTTACAAAATAAATATTTAACTTGAAAGTTAAATATTTAGTTTAGGAATTAAATGTTTAGCTTAGAAATTAAATGTTTAGTTTGGAAATTAAATATTTAGCTAGGACAATAAATATTTAGTTTGGAAATTAAATATTTAATTTACACCTAAATATTTAGTACACTAACTAAATATTTAAGTTGCAAGTTAAATATTTAGTTTGTAAATTAAATATTTAGTGTGGAGCTAAATATTTAGCCTGCTAACTAAATATTTAACTTGCAAGTTAAGTATTTAGTTTGTAAACTAAATATTTAGCTTGTAAATTAAATATTTAATTGTAAATTAAATATTTAATTTACAATTAAATATTTAATTTACACTTAAATATTTAGTACACTAACTAAATATTTAAGTTGCACGTTATTTAGTTTGTAAATTAAACATTTATCTTGGACATAAACATTTAGTTTGTAAACTAAATATTTAGTGTGGAGCTAAATATTTAGCTTGCTAACTAAATATTTAACTTGCAAGTTAAGTATTTAGTTTGTAAACTAAATATTTAGCTTGTGAATAAAATATTTAGTTTAGAAGTATGACGTTTATAAATTATGAATGACATAGTGAAATATGACTTTGAATAAAAACCTATTTTTTTCTTATGAAAGGCTAAATAATCCAAAATGTTGCTGTTAATTTTTGAATGTGTAACTTTACAAACAGCACTCCATAGAGGACCTTCAGAAAGGCTGAAAAATTACTGCTCATAATCATTTGTTAAGAAAACAAAAAAATGTCAAGGTCTGAAACAACCGCTAAATTAAAAAAAAATGAGTGATGTTGAGGCTTTTACAGTTTACTGTACATCTTAATAATCATGTCAATGCCAAAAAAGGACACAAATGTCAGGAAAAGGATCAGGACTATGGTGGTAAAAATGTATTTCTTTACTAGATTTCTGAGACTTATTTATTTATTCACTTTTTACCATGGTCCCGATCCTCTTCTGTACAAATGACATTTACAAATTTAGTTTGACCTTCCTTTTAGCGTTTGAGCGTGTAAACCCAGAAATAAGAATTATGACAATTAATCTTTGAGTTGTGCGTTTGGCTTTGTTTTCTGAACTGCTCTTACATATGAACTCAAATCTGTATTTGTATGTGTATGCATTTAGGGGCCTCGCCCCCCGCGATAAGTGAACAACCGTAAAGTAGCGTGGGACTATTTGTTACTTTATCCTTAAGAGCATCGTTACCTGTATGCCGATAGAGGAACGGGGGGTTTTGAGGTACTCCTCAGCCTTGGACACCAGCACTGCTTTGTCACACGTCTGGACCGAGGTGTGACTGCCTAGAGACACGTGCCTCTTGCCTGCAGCTGACTCCATGGCCATGGTGACAGCCTTGGTGCTGTCCAGACTGTCCATGGAGCTGTAGATGGGCCGTCCGAGGCTATCCGTGGTCCACAGGCCCCCCCGCGAATGCCTGCCCTCATGGTAAGCATCCTGGGTGGACTCTGTGCTGCTCTGGGCTGTCACAGAGATAAGAGGCTTGGTGGTGGCTCTTGGGGGCACAGGAGGTGGGGTCTTCTTGTAACTGGGAGGATATGATACCGCTGGGTAGCACAAGCAGGATGAGAGGAAGTGGCCGAGGCAAAACAAGGGTAGAGAATAAAGAAAAAATGATGATAAATAATGTGGCAGAAGCTGAGAAAGGCAAATGTAGCTGTTCGCCTACATCACACGCAACATGTGATGAGGTGCCCCATCGCAGGATGAGAGGCTTAACAGGTAAAGCAAGGTGAATGTCGTAACGAGGAACAAAAACAGCAGGCTCTTTCCCAAGTAAGGTTTTACTTTTAATGCAAATGAAAAATGCATGATGTTTTATCTAGACAGGCCTCACATCTGAACTGGTACCATTCCCATTTGCAAAGACACTACAAACAGTTATTTAGCAACTAATGCAAACTTTTCTAAATCTGTGATCAGAGAAATTGAAACCCAACATCCTTCTAGAAGTTCATGTTCTGACAATCGTTCAAAACGTTTATTAGTTTATGCTATATCACATAGATTATTCCAGAAGTGAAGGAAAATGTAAAAACCTTTGTTAATAAAATGTTCCCAAACCTCTTGAAGCGAGGTTCTGACTTGAACAAAAAAGCAAAATGCATGAATTAGTGCATTAATTGTGTTAAATTATTATTAAGCATTTCATTTCAATTTGTTGTTTTTTGCTCCTTTCAGATTCTTTCTACTAACAACAACATTTTTGTGCTTTTTTTCAACTAATTTCTGCAAGTTTCAGCATTTTCCACTATATCAGCTACTATTTATCTGTTTTATACTAATCTTAGCTTTTTCAGCTAATTCCACATTTGTTGCACACATTTAAACTTTTTTCAGCCTAATTCAGTAGAAATGTTCTCTCTTTACTTCCTTCTGGTAATTTAAGCTTCTTCCAGCTTTTTAGCTACTTTTCAGCTTTTTTTTTTTTGTAATCTGTTGCTTGTTTCAGTTTTTTTTTTTCAGATAATTTCCACTTTTTGTGCTCATTTCTGCTTTTATCAGCATTCTTCTTTCTTCTGCTTAATTAAGCTTGATTAACCTTTTCAGCTACCATTTTAGAAAATTTTAAGCCAATTTCAGCTGTTTTCAGATCAATTCAAGTTTTTCATGGTAATTTCTGCTACTTTTAGCCTCTTCCTTATGATAATTTCAGATTGTTATGCGCTTTCAGCATTTTTCTGCTAGTTTTGGATATTTCAGCTACTATTTAGGTGTTATGCTAATTTTAGCTTTTTCAGCTAATTCCAATTTTTTTCTCCACTCATTCAACTTTTTTCGAGCTTAATTCTGCAAAAAAAGTGCTCTCTCCAAGTCCTCCTGGTAATTTGTTTCCTTCTTCCTTTTTAGCTACTTTTCAGCAGTTTTTGCTAATTTCAACTTTTTTCAGAACGTTTCCAATTTATTGTGCTCATTTCTGCTTTTTTCAGCATAGTTGTACGAATGTGTTCAGCTTTCTTCTGCTAATTTAAGCTTGTTCTACTGTTTCAGCTACCATTTTATCATGTTTCGCTAATTTCACCTGTTTTCAGATCAATTCAAGTTTTTCATGGAAATTTTTGCTAATTTCAGCTTGTTATGCTCCTTTCAGTTTTTTCTGCTAGTTTAAGCATTTTCTGCTATTTCAGCTAACATTTAGCAGTTTTTATGCTAATTTTGGTTTTTCAACCAATTCCACTTTTTTTTTTTTAGCTCATTTCAGCTCTTTTTGCTTCCTTCTGGGAGTTTAAACTTCTTGCCTTTTCAGCAACATTTCAGCTATTGCTGACATCAGTCTTTTTTTTTTAAACCAATTTCTTAATTTTTGTGCTAGTTTCTGGTTATTTAAACATAATTCAGCAAACAAGTGTTTTTTCTGCTTTCTTCTGATAATTTAGGCTTGTTTTCCATTTCAGCAACATTTCAGCATGTTTTTTTTAAGCTCATTTCGGCTGTTTTTCAGCAAGTTCTTCTGCAATTATCATTCACACTGCATTTTTGCAGGAAATGCTATTTCTCTAGTAATGGCTGAGTTCCTTCTCTCTGTCCCAACAAATAATATCCATAATGAGCAGGACATAAAGACCTCGCCCCGGAGGAATCAAACCATCATTAATTTACTTCGGCATTTCCTGTCATGGCTTCATAAATGTCTGCAGTGAAATGGGACGACTGTGACGGCAGGTATGAACAAAACAATAGAAGCCTGCATACTGAAAATATCAATACTTTACTCCATTTTAAAAGCTATGAATATTTGTGAAGAGAATGTAAACTTATGGTTTAACAAATATATTGAACATCCATGACCTTGATTTGTCAAATTGCTCATGACTATAAAAGCATCCAAAAATATATAAGTCTCTTAGTTTCAAAAGTTGTCTCTTCGTGAAAACAAACGTGAATTAGAGCTGAAGTAGATCCAAGCCCAGCTGTCACAGATCCATAGTAACCTCCACTGAGAAATCAATCGTTTCATTCTACGATGCTTCCGATCATTTCCTCTCCTCATCCACTCGTAAAGCCGTTCATTCACTCACACTTCCAGGAATTTACATAAACGCATGCGATCTAATATTCAGCAGGATGATTACATCACCTGGTGGAGGATTATTAACAGTTTTGCCCTCTTAAATGCTAACAAACGTAAAAATAAATGCATAATCTCTGCATTCGGTTTTCCATAAGCCTAATGTCTGGATCTGGACTCACCGAAAAATGAACAATGAGATGTATAGATAATAGGCAGTGCAGCTGTTCTAGCATGCCTAGGTGGGGCTGATGTTTCACATCTGGCTCAGGGTTTTCATTCGTTTCTTTCTGCAGAAAGAAGCCGTCAGCCCACAGAAACGCACGGGCCTTCACGAACAATGCAGAGACCAAAATCTAGCATGGATGTCACTAAAACAGAATTTAAACCTTTATATAATGGACGTCTGCTTGAAAAAAAAAAAAATCTCTTAAACCAGACTTTGCTGAATTTTAATGGAAGGCCACTGCTCTACATATAGACACTCAGACCACTTCAGATTACAGGCAACTGGGTATAAAAGGTAAAAAGAGAGCATTATTTTAAAATAAATCCAGTCTCGGCATCGACTTGCTCCCAACACAAACTGGTAGAGCTCTCTGAGACACAGCAGGCGGCTGCCGGAATATAAAGAGCTTGATGACTCACAGAGTATCTAACAGCACACTTTCTATTCTTACACACAGAACCTGTTGGACTTGGTTCATACATTGAAAATGTTACAAACTGCTTGGTGCCAGCAGCACGTAACCGAAACCAACAAATGTCTGACTTAAGAAATCTGATCCATTTTATTTTACAGGTTAATCTGTGTCTCGTGTATATTTGACATAATATAAAGCTAGTCGTAGTCTAGTAGTAGAAACCTCTTTATTTAAGTACCAGTCAGTTCAAAGAGATGACGGTTACTAGATGTAAATGTAAACTAGAGAAATTGCATTTCCTGCAAAAATGCAGTGTGAATGCTTATTGCAGAAGAACTTGCTGAAAAACAGCTGAAATTAGCTAAAAAAAGAGGTGAATTCTAGCTGAAATGGAAAAACAAGCCTATATTAGCAGCAAAAGTCAGAAATAATACGTATTTTTTAAATTGGGTTTAAATAAACTGAAATTAGCACAACAATTAGGAAATTAGGGCAGCACAGTGGTGCAACTGGTAGAGCTGCTGCCTCTCAGCGAGCAGGTCCCTGGTTCAAATCCTGGTCTGGGGGCCTTTCTGGGTTGAGTTTGTATGTTCTCTCTGTGCATGTGTGGGTTTTCTATGGGTACTCCAATTTCCTCCCACAGACCAAAAACATGCATGTTAGGCTGATTGATAACTCTAAATTGTCCCTAGGTATGAGTGAGAGAGTGAATGGTTGTTTGTCTCTATGTGTCCCTGTGATGGACTGGAGACCCGTCCAGGGTGTACCCCGCCCTTCACACAGTGATTGCTGGACATGGGCACCGGCGACCCCCATGACGCAAAATGGAATAAGCGGGTAAAAGATAATGGATGGATGGATGGAATTAGGAAATTAACTAAAAAAAGCTAAAAATGAGCAACAACAACAACAACAAAAAAATGTTGAAAAATAGCTAAAAAGACAAAAAGAAGTTTAAACTACCAGAAGAGGAAGAAAGAGCTGAAATGAGTAAGAAAAAAGGTGGAATTAGCTGAAAAAACTAAAATGAGCATATAACAGCTAAATAGCAACTGCAATAGAAAAAAAAAAAAGAAAAAAAAAGGCTGAAACTAGCAGAAATAAGCTGAAAGGTGCATAACTAGCTGAAATTAGCATAAAAGTTAATAAGGCTGAAAGTAGCAGAAATTATCATAAAAATATAGTTTATCATGAAACAGCTGCAATTAGCGAAAAATGAAAAAAGCTAACTGAAAAGGTAGAACAAGCTTAAATTAGCAGAAGAAATCAGAAAGAGCATATTTCCCCAATTATGCTGAAAGAAGCAGAAATGAAAACAAAAAAGTTAGTTATCTGAAAAAAGCTGAAATAATCAAAAATCAGCTGAAAAGTAGATAAAAAGCAGAAAAAAGTTTAAATTACCAGAAGGAAGTAGAGAGAGACCATTTTTGTTGAATTAGGCTGAAAAAAATACAAATGAGTGCAAAAAAATGTGGAATTAGCTGAAAAGGCTAGAATTAGCATAAAACAGTTAAATAGTTTCTGAAATAGCAGAAAAAGCTTAAACTAACGGAAATAAACTGAAAGGAGCACAACAAGCTGAAATTAGCAGAAAGAAATTAGAAGAAGCACAAAAATGTTGTTGTTAGCAGAAAGAATCTGAAAGGAGCACAAAATAGCTGAAAAACAGCTGAAAGTAGCTGAAAAAATGTTAGAATTTGCACGAGCTGAAAGAAGCTGAAGCAGAACAAAATGTGAAAGGAGCAGTAAAAGGTTGTAAACAGATCTAAAGATTTGAAGGATGTAAAATGAGCTCAATTCATTTTTTATTAGCAAAAAGTGGCAGAAAATGCTAAATATTTCAAAGAGCTAAAGTTGCACCAAAACCAAAAGTCAAAGCAGGATTGTCCTGAAA